ACTAAAGTTGAAAAAGTGAAAAAGCATAATAGGACCCCTTTAATTTGTTTAAAGTTTCCTTTTGACAGAAAAAGTGCTGGAAAGTGGAAACCACCATATTTTCATGAGAATGATACAAAACTCAGTAAGTGGATTGTCTTGATAAAGCTGCTAGATCTTTAATACCTGTCAATGCTACACATTTTGATCAACTGAAGCTTCATTATGATATTCTCCTTAACTGATCATGGCAACTCTTATGCTTGCATCTTAAAGAGAGTCTCATTTTATACCTTTTCATGGTGTCATTTTGTCCATGTGTCATGGGTTTAAGAATAGGATCTGTTCCCTGCTGGGAATGTCACTATTGTCATTTTGTTTCCTGTTCTGTATACCAAAGGTGGAGACCTCATGCACACACAGACACACCTATCATTGACTTGTACTTTCCTGTACTTTCCTGTTCACTTTTGCTTTATGGTCTGTCCACGGAGAAAGTCAACTATTAGCATTCCCATTCATCTCAATGGCAGTTGCTCAGATGGCGTGTGCAAACTTGAGAGCACGCAGCCTGTATAACTAGACCATTGACGCAGAAGGCAGCAAGTCAAGGGCTTTCCAAATAAATTGAGCTCTGGTAAAATATGATGTACTCATTCAAATGTTGCTTGGGAATAAAATTGGTCTGAAATCTTGGTTACTAGTGAATGGTTGTCAATAAAGAAACATCTTTTTTTTCTCTGAACAGTACCAACCCCATTATGAAAGATCATCGCCTTTGGGTCTTCAGGTTGTTTATGGTGAAACAAAGATCAGCCATATTCTTTTTGAATAATTAATCATTCTAGTAATTATTTTATCATGTAGGAAATATAATGAAGCTGTGACGCATAGGACCCTTTGCAAATAAGTGATATCTCACTAATGAAGTTTGTTGTGAAGCTTTTGGCCTTCTGGAGCTGACATGCAAATGTTGGCAAAACTGAACAAACCCATTTTTGAGGTTATAGATATTTCAGTTCTAATACATTTTGGTGTCAGTTTGCAAACTGTGTAATTAACTGTTGTGGCATCATTTATTTATAAAATAGTTTTGTTAAATGATTGATTTCTATTCTGTTATACAATATTACCACAGTACAATATTTTTCTTATGGATAAAAATAGGTGTAAAAATAGGATGGTTACAGAAAATGTCCAACCTGATGGATCAGAGTGATGGAATGATGAATATTACTTTTAAGTAATTGCAACCTGCAACCAGTGGTATTTGGATGGTATGCTGATCAGTTTGTCAGCATGCTCAAATGTTGATTTTAAAAAGGACTTCATGCATCAAAATTGACCCTGTTTACTTCAATGCATATTCCTGGTGTAATTGTGCACTATCCATCTATGAATGTTATTTCAAATAGGCTGGATAAAAAAATTAAATCTCTCCCTTCCAAGTAATTGCCTCCATCCTGGTATGTAACAGCCACTTGATATTGACTTTATTTTTATTTAATGTCCTAATTGTTATGGATGAAGATCAGTTCTCCAAGTCTATGGATCTGTGAGTGGTTGTTGCCCTGAGCCAGATATTGTAAAAGACTCGAGTGGAAGTGGTTTGAAGTGATGCAGTGAGCTTCTGTTACTCTCTCACCTGCTGATGAGAAGGGTGCTGAGCTTGGCTATTTTCTCCACAGGGTGACATTGATGCTTTAATTACTGACCCCTCTCCTGTGTGTGATTCCTCCATTAATTTCTACTTTAAATCGGGTGACTGATCAGCCTAATAGTGGAATCAGCAGTAGGAGTGTGGTACGAGTTAGTGTATGGTTAGGGGTCAGTGTAAGGTCTGGCTGTTGCCGTTAGCTTTCAGTTGGTAGATGCCAGTCCAGCAACTGTCACTGAGATGAATGGGAATGCAAACAGTTTTCTCCAGGACAGGTATTAAAGCTCCATTAAGCTCCATTGTGTGTCAGAGCAACTGCAAGCCTCGACTTCCTCTTTAGGTGTCGAAAGAGTAATAAATGGAGGCGTATGTTTGGAAAACAAACACTGTGGAATCTCCTAAGTCTGCTGTCTCACTTTTTTTTTTTTTTACAAACCGATATTGATTGGATGAAGCACCAATATAAAATAGGATGAGCATGCATAGGCTTTGAGCTGACCCTTCAGCAGTGTTAGTGAGTTCTGTATACATTACACACAGTGCAGTAGACTGCTATTTTGCTGTATTTCCTTCTGCTGTTCTGCCGATAGCAGTAGCTCAAGGCTTATTGGGCCCCTGTAATGGCACATTGCTCAGTCCTTATGTCCGATTGCAGCTTAATTTGCCTTGCTGACTATCATCTTGTCTTGTGCTTTGAGCCAGAGGTCTGCTCTCAGCAAGCTCAAGCTCTGACTATGTCCACGTCCCCCTCAGTGAATTTGTCATCTTGATCACACTTCCCTCTGAGCTTCATCCTCTGAATTCTATCGCAAAATCACAGCCACCTCTTTTACAGCAGTAAAGCCCTGGAGATTGAATTCTCTTACGGAGTATCATTGAAAAGGAATTGGACAACAATACTGTGAGTCATAAAAGAGTTGTGTGTGGTACTATAGGCAGCTTCACACAGTCTCTCATGGGTTCAAAATGTCCAGGGGGTGGTTTGATTTCTAAATACAAAAAAAAGTAATTAGTAAAGAAGGATCAGATACACTACTGTTCAATAAGCAGCACAACTGTTTTTAACATTGATCATATTATATAGAATATTATAGATACATTTTGTCAAGACAAATTTTAAAGATGGCTTGATAAAGCCAGACCAGAATGTTTTAAAAGTTTAAAAACATTGAGTTTTAATATTTATTAAATGATACTTGAGTATTGGATGCTGAAAATTAAGCTTTGCTATCACAGAAATAATTAGCATTTTAAATATACTGAAATAGGAAATTTTCCTATAAGAACTAGTTCACAATATATTACTGTTTCTACTCTATGGTCAAATAAAATAGCTTGGTGAGCCTAAGAGACATCTTTTACATCTAACATTTAAAAAGTCTTACTGACCCCAAACTTTTGAAATGTATATAGTTTCGATTGAGAGATTATTCACCCATAGCTGCAAATGTGGGTTGTTGACTAATAATCAAACCTTGATTATAGCACTCAAAAAGTTGGTTAGTTATTTTAAGTATGTAAATTGGAAAAAGTATGGAAAAAGTGAAATCTAAGAGATAAAACAGTTGTATAAATTGTATAAAATAATTAACAGGGTTCCCACGCATCCTGGAAAGCCTGGAAAATTGATGACTAAATTTCAAGTCCTGGAGAACACATGGAAAGTGAGAGAAAATGTAAAATGTCCTGAAAAATCTTGTAGTTGTCCTGGAAAATTATTACTAAATAAAAAATTAATTGTGTTTTCCTTTACCTAAGAAGGAACAGTTTACCACTGGCGGTAACCAAGGAAATGCTGTATCGCTGCTGTTCCATAAGTGCCACCTGCTGTCAGAGGGTGCTGATTTTGTTTCTGTCAGATATGTTTTATATAGCAGACTTTCACAAAGCTAAAGTCTGACTATAGGGTTTTTGCTTCAGATTTTGAAATTACATCTAATTTAACCTAAAATTACATCTAATTTAAATTAGAAACTGCTCATGTATGCAGCATGTTTGTTTGGATTGTGATTAAAATGCAGTGGTTGCCTCTAATTTTAAATGCTACAGAGAGTTCAGCCTGTTATAGAGCAAAAAATAAAAATAAAATCTTGTTCATGTACTCATATTTTTATTGTCTTATCTCTTGCTAAAATAAAAAAAATATTTACATATCGGTATCAGAATTGGCCCATTCGCTTGTTAAAAACAAAAACAAAAGAATTGGCCATGAAAAATCAAGATTGGTACATCCCTACTGACTTTTGACGGTGTGAACATTGATGTGTTTCCCAGCATTCTATCCAGTGGTCAACTTTTAGAGAAGTAATTCAGTAACTTGTCAAAAGTAGGCATTAGTACTTCTGTACCAAGTCAATACAGAAATTTTAAAAACGTAAGAATACCGGCCTTTCTGCAGCACTGGTAGTACTGAGTACAGCTGCTTTGAAATGCTTCTGTGCATATTTATATCGAATTCCATGAACATTGATATGCAGTGGCCAATCAGAGGGGTTTAAGTTAGGCAGAATCAACTCATTTTTCAGTTTACCCTTTTAAAGCAATACTTAAAATATTATTTTATTTAATATTATTATTTTTATTTATTATTATTATTATTTTCAAATAGTTAAATAAAATAAATATTTAAATATTTTATTTATTTTGTTATGGTACTGAAATTGGTTTTGAAAATCATTTGTTGTCATGTATAATTAAGAGCTCATATTAAAGAGCTGATTTTATAGTTAAGTCATGGCCATAAACTATGTTTTTAAAGACTTCTAGAGGGAGGAATATATTACTTTAGAGTGTGATCCTGGTCGTTTATTCCCACTGTAAGAAATAATATAAATAAAAAATGTCCTGGAAAATGATCACTGAAAAAGAGTGGGAACCTGAAATATCATTTAGACAATTATGTATTCTATGCATACTGTTACATTATGTACCCTTTTATGGTGTTTTTTGTTTATCTATTTTGTATTGTTTTAAATAGCAAATTGGTTGCATTGCTTTTAGATACTCAAAGTTATTTAATTGGTTAAAATCTCATATGGCATGGTTCATAATATATTAAAATATAATGTTTGTATAATATTGCATTCCTGTTTTCACTCTTTTTTGTGCTTTCCAGAATAAGCTGCAAAATGATGTCAGTGCCCAGATGTCAGAGATTCACAGACTGAAAGGTAAGAAATGCTCACTAGAGGGTGCTACTTTCACCTCTGAGTTAGTGGTATAGGGTTGTGGTGGGGTATGCAACTATTTTTGTACATTTTCTCATACAGTGTTGTTTCTTTCTACTCCACACTGATGTAAACCAATCATGGTATCCTGCTGGCTGATATTTTTCATATTGTGGTGTTTTGGACTGCTGATCTAATGGGGCATGTAGTCATGTTTGTTGAAGTGTGTGTGTGTGTGTACACATTTACAGAGCAAGTAAAGGAATTGAGGCAGGAGGTCATCCGACAGGAAGACCAACTGAGGGAAGTGCGGAAAAACAGCACCAATTTGGAAAAGAAGCTAGAGTATGAGAGGTGAATATAAACACTTGTGGACCCAGACCCAGAAAAAGGGGTCTTGTTTTCTATGCACTTCCATTCCTACATTAGGGATTGTTTAAATTGACTGGACTCGTTGATCATGCAAATATAAATCTAGAATGTAATATGTGCATTGCAGCTTGCAGTGTGGCCGACAAATAGCTGAGCTGAAGGCAGAATATGAAGAGAGCAAGAAAAGAGTAGAAGAAGAGGCAGCAAAACTCAGACAGGTGGGATAAGAATGACTTGAATTCAGTCAGTTTAAACTGTAACTTGTCTCCACTAATACTCTATTTTGCATTAAAACAAAAACTTCCTCATTGCAGAGTTTATTAGAGAATCGTAAAGTGGACACAGGGGGTCGGAAGTTGGAGGCGGATCTTGATCAACCCATCAAAAAAAAAGAGGAGGACACTGCAGAGCACCACACAGTGGCTGCAAGGCGAAATGACGGCCCAGTTCTTAAAGGTAGCGGAAAAAACCTCAATGAGCAGATGCATAAACATTTTGGTTGAAAAAAATCCCATTCTCTTGCTTTTTTTCTATCACATACACTCAAGATGATCTGGGTAAACCTGGTAGCGATGCTGGCATGCCTGGCATTGAGGACAGTGAAGTAGGCAAGATAGAAGATGCACAGTTTGGTGAGTATCACAAAGTAAATCTCTAGAAGGTTTAAATGAACTACTGAATAGTCATCTTACTGATGAGTAACCGAGAGAATAAACTCTAAAGCATGCTGAAAATAAAAATTCATGTCTGTTACTTAATTCTTATTCACATTTCATGTTTCTCCAGCCCTAAAGAAGCCAGCCATCACGCCGCAGAAGCACATGGAGCCCGCAGAAGCTGCAGCATTGCTGAAGGAGGAGAGGGCAGGGTTCGGAGCTGGAGCTGGTGCCAGACCAGGGGATGATTTGGCCCGCGGGCAACCGTTGGACCGACCAGACATGCCCCATGATGAAAACCTGCATTTAGGGAACAACGATGTACCTGTGCAGCAGCAGGTTCCAAAGCCGGTGGCAGACAAACCCTTGCTGTTTGACAAAGATAATAAGGCAGGCATAAAGGCAGATGAGTTTGGGGAGCAGCGTAGACAGCTGGGAGGTGAGAGGTCATGTTTTATATGTGCTTATATTGCTCATACTAACACTTTTCAATTGTTGGTTGTCTTAGAAATGTTATGCAGGACCCAAATATATACACACACACACACACACACACACACACACACACACACACACACACACAC